ATCGAATTCCAACTGTCAAGGGATCTTTTACGTGCACGCCAACGTGTACACGGGACCTCGTTTTTTCATTTCATCCGAATGACTAGACAGCTGTCCTTGTCAGGCCCTCCGTCCTGCATCACTGACAAGGGGGAACCACGCCGGGAAATCTGGGTGAACTTTCTCGGCCAATGCAGGGATCGAACACCCGACCTCCAGGCTAGCGAGCCAGCGTCTTACCCACTTAGCCACCATGACGACTAGGCATGGAATCCATGCTGAAAAATTCAAATGAGCTTTCTCGGTCAACACTGGGAGCGAACACGCAACCTCCCGGGTACCAAGCCAGTGCCTTACACACTAAGCCACATGACTCTCTTCTAATTACTGTGACAGTCCAGTCACATGACAAACAAGGGTTATTAAAACAGATTTTCAAGGCTTGGGTAAGATCTTCGGGATTCAAATGGTTTTAGATATCACACAGTTTGTATATGGTAAGGTATCTTAAACAGTTTATTACATGTCACATATTCATATTTTTCAGTTTCCATATTAGATGCCATAGCAAATCAAAGATCATATAATAAAATAAGTCAAAAAACCCAAATATGGAAAAAGAAAGAGCTGAAGAAATGGTGATTTGAGCACCTATGCTTTCTCATAGGTGTTTTTGGAGGGTGAGTGTTCAATTCTAATAGAAAAGATTGTTGTTATGGTATTTTAGAATCTCACCATAATGTGTTTGGCACAATATATCCCGGTTGGAGCTGATGTGACATAAACCTCCATTTCATTTTATTGTTTTGAAATTTAAAATTCAGTTTAGTATAGTAAATTTGTACACGTACATGTATGTGCACAAACAGAATCTTACTTATGTCCAGATACATGTAGATATGACTGTCTCATCTGTGGGGGACCACGGTGGCCAAGTGGGTTAGACACTGGCTCGCATATTTTAAGGTCGCGGGTTTGCAGTAAGACATTGCAGTACGGAGGACTGGGCTAATGAAGTTGGGCATATGCCATACAGTGTGCTACGAGAGAAATTTTGCCGGGTACCGTGACCTTAAGGCCTTCTCTTGTATCACATTCTAACTGCCAGGGGATCTTTTACATGCACACCTATGTGTACACGGGACCACGTTTTTTTGTTCAATCTGAATGACTAGACAGCTGTCCTTGTCAGGCCCTCCGTCCTGCATCACTAACAAGAGGAAACCACGCCGGTAAATCTGGGTGAACTTTCTCGGCCAATGCAGGGATCGAACACCCGACCTCCAGGCTAGCGAGCCAGCGTCTTACCCACTTAGCCACCATGACGACTAGACAGGGAATCCATGCTGAAAAATCCAAATGAGCTTTCTCGGTCAACACTGGGAGCGAACCCGCAACCTCCCGGGTAGCAAGCCAGTGCCTTACACACTAAGCCACATGGCTCTCTTTTAATTACTGTGACTCTCCAGTCACATGACAAACAAGGGTTATTAAAACAGATTTTCACGGTTTAGGTAAGATCTTCGGGATTAAAATGGTTTTAGATATCACACAGTTTGTATATGGTAAGGTATCTTAAACAGTTAATTACATGTCACATATTCATATTTTTCAGTTTCCATATTAGATGCCATAGCAAATTAAAGATCATATAATAAAATAAGTCAAAAAACCCAAATAAGGGAAAAGAAAGAGCTGAAGAAATGGTGATTTGAGCACCTATGATTTCTCATAGGTGTTTTTGGAGGGTGAGTGTTCAATTCTAATAGAAAAGATTGTTGTTGTGGTATTTTAGAATCTCACCATAATGTGTTTGGCACAATATAGCCCGGTTGGAGCTGATGTGACATAAACCTCGATTTCATTTTAATATTTTGAAATTTAAAATTCAGTTTAGTATAGTAAAACTGTACACGTACATGTATGTGCACAGACAGAATCTTACTTATGTCCAGATACATGTAGATATGACTATCTCATCTGTGGGGACCCATGGTGACCAAGTGGGTTAGACACTGGTTTGCATATTTTAAGGTCGCGGGTTTGCAGTAAGACGATGCAGTACGGGGGGCCTTACAAGGACAGCTGTCTAGTCGTTCAGATTGAACAAAAAAACGTGGTCCCGTGTACACATTGGCGTGCATGTAAAAGAGCCCCTGGCAGTTAGAATTTGATACAAGAGAAGGCCTTAGGGTCACGGTACCCGGCAAAATTTCTCTCGTGGCACACTGTATGGCATATGCCCAACCTCATTAGCCCAGTCGAAGCTGAACAGTAGGACGCCAAACCCCATTTCATTTCATTTTTTTCATTTTGTCTCATCTGTGACAAAGCAAACCAACACATTACAATACAATTTAATTAAATTAAAACTTTCGTCTATTTAAATATTGAATCGATTTAAGTCAACTAAAACATAGTATGTTTTTTTTCTCAGTTAACTACATCAGAAAGATCAAGACCGTTGGAAATGGCTATTCATATTATGGAAACTTTTTCTCACAGAGCTTGATAATCAGGTAAAATGTAAGTAACATACATATTTGTATTTTTAATCATCAACTAGTTCTATACACTTGATTGGTAATCTAGTTATTCTTCTTGGGGCAATGCCTAGGACTCTCCTATTCAAGTCTTGGCATTCTTGATTTTTGACAATCACATCCATTGATTTTCTTCAAGTTGTGATAGACCCTATGTGTATTTTTACAGTAAATAGCAGTATAAAAATGGACAATATTTTACTTTTCAAATAGATTTTAATAGGTAATATCCAATTTGATGTCGATGGAAATAAAATATAATAATCTGCCTGGGTCTGTTACTGGACAAGACACAATAAGTGTTACCCAAAGATGAAACAAAATAGAGACTCAGTCTCGATGTGGCAAAATAAATTGTTTATTTAAACATTGTGAACCATAAATAGTAAGAAAGTATTCTTATTGCCTACTTTTTATTTTTTAGGCTGGAAGATTATTTGATGTATGATAACAACAAGAGATCCCAAGCATCAATTTATTTTATAATTCTGCAAAAGAATGCATTTGACCCAATTTTTGAATATTTTTTTTTGTTTTTACTGTTAAATATTCATCCCAAACACAATTAGATTTTAATTCTCTACAGAAATTTATGTATAATATAGAATGTAAAGTGACATATAAATCACTTAGAATTTGGTCGGAAATCATAAAGTATTTAATAGGCATAGTCTAGAAACCAAATGTAGATCAAATATACCTAGAATTACAAAAAACCTTGACCTACATTAAGGTGACTTTCCCTTGCTTATGAAATAAAATAGGGTTTAATATCCTACTTTTCTGTGTTATTATGGTGATTCTGCCCTACAACCTACTCTTATATCAAATATTTCAACTGTCAAGGGTTGTTTAAAGGGAACCCAGGAGGGCCGAATGGTTAACACACGCACATTGGATCAGAAGGGTCTGTCATTGAGTCAGATAATTCAATTGTCAAGGGTTCTTTAAAGTAAACGCAGTGGGGGTAGTTTCAATTCTGGGCTTATACCCAATTATCCCTTGCCATGTCCTACACTACTGACGTGTGGGAACTATGTCGGAAAATCCAGTTGAAATTTCTCGGCCAATGCACTTACTGAACCACAGTGGCTCCTCCTTGCTTTTGACTTGTGATTATTTATATATATTTTGTACATATTATTTAATGTTTGCGATTTTCTCTGATATTTTTTTATTTTTCAATCCTGTAATCTTGATGCTTTGCTCCTTTTATGTACAAAATATTCATTTTGTTTGAGGAAAAGGTTCTACATCATTTTATTACTCCTGCAAAATAGTGCATTTTTCTTTTGTTAGTTTTCTGTGTATGCTAGTTATTTCTAGATGCCTCACAAATCACTTGTAATATGACTTTGTAGCACTTTTCAGTTTCTGAAAGTATTTCAATTTAGTGCATAATTAATCTAATTAGGGCTTGGTTTGGATGTTATTAAATTTAGATATATTTGAATTATATATTTTTGGGGTATGGGGTAGGGATCTTTCTTTTCTCAGTTCTTGTTTTCGGGTAAAGAAAAAATTAAATAGCTATTTTGTATTTTGTGATGTGGGGGGGGAGGGGGGCAAAGTATAACAAAATTTTTATTAGTATTAGAATTATATCTCTGTTTTTCTGTTAACATTTCAAATGATGTCTATTTAGTTTTGATTTGGCGGTGTTAATTTACTTTTTTCTATCATTTTATGAATAAATGATAATTTAACAAATAAAACTATTGTTACCTCATTTATCAAACTTTACAGGTTAAACAGAGCAAAAGGGGTGGGGGCTGCATGGGAAAGATTGCTAAATTGAGGGAAAATAAAACACAAGTTTTTGTTGGTGGTTATACACAAGTTTTTATGAAACCACACAAGTTTCAGAAATTTCAACACAAGTTTCAGAAATTTCAACACAAGTTTCAGAAATTTCAACACAAGTTTCAGAAATTTCAAAACAAGTTTCGACACAAGTATTGTGTAGATTTTCACACAAGTTTGTGTTGTTTTGGTAAATTTTAACACAAGTCTTGTGTTGTTTCAACATTTAACACAAGTTTGTGTTGTTTCAACACAAGTTTGTGTTGTTAAATAGAGACACCTAACACAAGTTTTTTTTCAGTGTAGTTATTTTGCACATTACATTTCGCCATTCTGTATTTTGCATTAGACAAATGCATAACAGAACTTATCAGAACATATAATGTACCTTATATGGGATCTAAGACGAAGCTCATTTGCATACGGAAAATAGTCCAGACAAGAACGGAAATTAATAAAAAATAAAAACATAAGCAAAATACGTTTTAGTCCGCCATTAGAAGATTAGCTCTTGTGCAGTCTGTGGTCTCTTTTTTGAATCGCAAAATTCTACTTGAAATCATGTAGGATTATTATAGATTTGTGTCGCGAAATTGCTGTTAGTCCAGTAAAGAACGATGCGAAGACAGAAGTCAAATCTTCTTTCTACAAATAAATTATTTTTTCTATTTTCAGGGGTCCATAAAGAGATTTATTTGATTTTATGCTTCGTTAAGTCCTTCACCTAAAAAGTAGTATCAGCGATACAGTCATACATTTTATATCGATAGGAACTATCTACTTTACCATAAGTATACACAACACGCAAAGCCGACGGAACTAAGCACAAATATGGATCAACTGGTTGAAAGTAACATAAAGTTTGGTCTGGATATCTTGAAGACAATAGCTTCCAATAAACCAACTGAAAACCTTTTTGTCTCACCTTTTAGTATTCAGACTGCCATGGCCATGCTACATCTTGGTACCAGGAATAATTCTAAAGCAGAAGTAGAGAAGGTTTTATATTTTGATTTTGATTCTGTTCATGGTTCTCTAGGAGAATATTTACAAATATTGAATCAAAAACAATCATCATATGCCTTGTCTTCAGCTAATCGAGTTTTTATTAATAATAAATATAAATTTCTAGAAGAATATCTTCAGACATTACAAGCTACATACAAGGCTGAGGCTCAAACCTGTGATTTTATTAGCAATGCTGAAGGAGAGAAAGAGAAAATAAATAAATGGGTGGAAGGAGAAACAAATTCTAAAATAAAAGATTTAATTCCTTCTGGTGTGTTGAATCCATTGACGGCCATGGTTTTAGTTAATGCTATTTATTTTAAAGGAAACTGGGAAAATCAGTTTGAAGTTAGAAACACGTTACCACGAATGTTTCGGGTTGATTCTTCTAAACATGTTGAAGTTCTAATGATGACAATGGAGAAAAAGTTTAAATTCGGACAAAGTGATGACCTCGACTGCAGCATTCTTGAGTTACCTTACGTAAAGAAAGACTTGAGTATGGTTCTTTTACTGCCACAGAAAATTGATGGTGTGACGTCATTGGTGAATAATTTAACACCTAGTAAACTGAGCAAATTAATGAAAGAAATGAAGGAAGTTAAAGTGGATATTGCTCTACCTAAATTTAAACTTGAAGCTGATTTAAACCTGAAAGAAGTTCTGATAAATCTGGGTTTATCTGATATATTTGATACAAGTAAAGCTGATCTGTCAGGAATTGATGGCACCAGAGAGCTGTATGTATCGGATGCCATTCACAAAGCTTTTGTAGAAGTTAATGAAGAAGGTACTGAAGCAGCTGCTGCTACTGTCATGGTTATGCAATTATTGTGTTTGGAAATTTTACCTAAATTCCACGCTGACCATCCTTTTCTATTCTTTATTAGAGACAACAGAAAGGACATGATTCTATTTTGGGGGAAACTACAAACTCCGGATGGTCCTCTTGTTAATACCCCAAATGAAGAAATTTAAATATTACATCTGACATAGCAGCTAGACCATTTTCTTGATTTGTTTTTACACATTAAAATCATAAAGCTTCATTGGTATTTTCCTAAAATATCAAATTTTTCACGCGGTCTTAATCCAAGCTACTATTATTTAACATTTGATTCGGAAAAAAAAATTTAAAATTCCAATGTTCGATAATGTTTCGGATTGGAAATAAAAAACAGGTCTATCAATAAATTTTTCGCGGACAACAAATGGCAGTGGGCTTATTACATAACGAACAGCGTAGATCGCAGACATTTCAATTCTACATATCTTTGTAAATACTGAACTGTTGGGCCATTGAACATTGGACCGTTTTGGGACCATATTCCTGTTAGAAATTCATCTTTCACTATATCGCTGTTTGCAAGTGATTCATATAGGGTCACAATGACGCACCGAGGCTTCAAAGGAATATTACAAAGTTTTAAACATAAAGGGGATATTTTGTTTGCTGTAAATGTGAATCATACTATCTCATTTAAATTCATTAATTGAAACAGTAGTTTTATCATCCTTAATTCCCGCAAACGTGAAATTGATATGAGTCACTTGTTGATATTCCAAATGAAGAACTTTAAAAAATACAAATATTAAGTTGGGTAATTTTCTTTGATTTGTTTTAACAAAGGAGATATATTCGATATATTGCATATTATACATTTTACACATAAAGGGGATATATTCGATATATTATTGCATTTTACACATAAAGGGGATGTATTCGATATATTGCATATACACATTTTACGTATAGACGGGATGTATTGCATATTACACATTTTACGTATTGCATATTACACATTTTACGTATAGACGGGATATATTGTATATTACATATTTTTTAATATTAAGGGAATATATTCGATATATTGCATAATATACATTTTATACATATGCCTATTACAAGGACATTGATTTGAGCATGTGAATAATTATGTGACAACCTTTTTTTTATTAATAAAATACATATAACAAATATATATATTTTAACATAAATAATCTAACATAAGTTTAGAGAGAGGGTGAAAAATAGGGTTTGATGTCCATTCGACACAAACTAGGTCTTTTTGTGACTAACATCGTTCAATTTTATTTTAATAATTCGCTTGCGCGTCTTTAGCAAGGGGCGAATTTTTTTATGGTCGACTATTTTTTCACTGGGGGGTGGGGGGGGGGTGGAAACTTTTTGCAGGGGGCCTTTTAACATATGATGACATTTCGATCACTGTTATTTTATTTGCCTGTTTGTTTTTACTTTTAGTTACTTAATGTTTTCTTATTTGCTTATTTTAAACGATTTATATCGTGATTGCTAACATATTAAAGAACATGTAATAGTAAAGTGTTATTGTTAGTACGCTTCAAATTTTTATATTTTTTTTATCTTTGTTACTTACATGTATTTATTTTTTATCTTCGAATGTAGACGATTTATCATTCTTGTTGTGTCTCGTAGGCCTTAAAGGCCGGATATTATACATTTATATTCTTTTTTTAAGATCGTATTGTTATTGCTACAATGTGTGACACATAAATAAAACAATTCTTCTTCTTCTTCTTTTTTCTGGAGCCACGGTGGCTAGGTGGGTAAGGCGCTGGCTCGGTAGCCTGGAGGTTGAGTGTTCGATCCCTGCATTGGCCGAGAAAGTTCATCCCGATTTTCCGACGTGGTTTCCCCTTGTCAGTGATGCAGGACGGAGGGCCTTACAAGGACAGCTGTCTAGTCCTTCGGATGAGACGAAAAACCGAGGTCCCGTGTAAACATTGGAATGCACGTAAAAGATCCCTTGGCAGTTGGAATTCGATATAAGAGTAGGCGATAGTGCCGCTGCCCGGGCACACTGTATGGCGTATGCCTGTCTTCATTAGCCCAATTTAGAAGCAGAACAGTAGGACGTTAACCCCATTTTATTTCATTTCATTTCTTCTTTTTCTCTATGTTCCCAAATGAATCTACTTGCGAAGACATCCAAAGGTGTGAGTACCCCCACACCGCAGTTATATCCGGACAAATAACTAGGAAATAACAAAGGGTTGTCACACTATAGTTTTGCCAAATAAATCGACTTGAAAACGCCCAAAGAGATCATGTCCACATTCCGTACTTACATCCACACATGATAATGAGTTGTAACGCTAGTTTTTGCATCGAAAATAACATGGCAACATATGGGCCGTAACTAGCTCAGGGTAACGAGGGGGCGGGAATTGTTCTCAGGGGGCTGTAAAATTGACGGACAATGTATATCTATCAAGGGGCCGGGGGGGGGGGCTATTTCCTGCACTCTGGGCAGCCTCACCTATCGAGGACGATGATGCAGACGGACCGTGTGAAAAGCGGCCAAAGCAATTAGTTCAGCAAATTGAAGTTCAAGAACCAATCACTCGGAATTCCAAAACTCGTAATTTCATTCAATATCCAGTAGACACTGCAATGGTGCATTGCGGTAGACACTGACTGTGGTACGAGACTCATTATCGTATCATCCAGCAGCTACACATATCTACCGGCCTCGGGCGTCGTAGAGTTTTTCGAGTAAAAAGTTATGCCAGGTTTTGGTTACTAGTCAGTAAGAAAACATACACCTACCAAATGACGTCACCACCTATAGATTCCTTTGACCAGGTATGCAGACTACAATTAAATAGCGCTAAGTTGTTCTTCTAAACATAGCAATTTCTCTTTCTCCCTTTTTCTATGACCATTTTTTTTTTCGAGAATCGACGAAGAGGGTTCAATTAATATCAAAGTTAATGTGGTAATTAATTGTTGTCTGAATCCGTTTGATGTCAAAGAGTTATCGTTCTTTTTATAGAGTAGCCTCCCATTAAACACGCGGATGTTACATTTTGTATTAAAATGAGTGAACAAAAAAATTTGCACAAGAGAGACATTCCTCACAACACTGACCGCTGGCCATGGTAAATTGACGAAATCTCGCGTTCATAAACGAGCTGATCGTTTATTTTTAGCGACACTGACAGGCACCGCGTGGTAGGGTTAGGTTTAAGAATTTGGGGGAAGAGTCTCGCCGGCGGGCGACCAAGCTGTGAACAAACGGACCCGTACGTACTCGTAGCAGTGGCGGCGCCAGGCCCCCCCCCCCATTAATCTGATCTGCCCTCTGTTTGCCCCCCCCCCCCCAAATAATTTTAGAAAATAAAAAAAGTATTTGTGATACGTTTCGGTAATCAATACCTTCTACGGTGAATAAATCCCACATCCCCACTCAGTCATAAACTTGCATGTTGTAGAGCATTTTCTTGGCGAGGTCCCCAATGGACTCGCTACTTTGGCGCTCACAAGGGGAATTCGTTGAGGTTCGCAAGTCCGTTCGTTTGACATTCTGTTCTCTAGTCGGATAAACTAGTGATCAGGCTACGGATGGTATCTGGTCAGATCTATTTATCTCGACGATCGGTACTGTAAGACAGCATTTCCGGCAGTCTATTTTTCGTCGTGATTCGCAAGTCCGTTCGTTTGACACTTTACCTCATCGATCAGTGCCTGAAATACTGCCAGGCTGCATTTCCGGCAACCTTTTTTTCAAAATTTTCTGGGGGAGGCCCCCTACCCCTAGTTGAAGCTCGTGCCTTTGCCCCCTTAACCTTGGACTTTGCCCCAGCGTTGCCCCGCCAATCACCGACGGCTGGTGCCACCACTGACTCGTAGCAATAGCTTCTGTGGTGGTTACTATAGCAGTAGTATGTCACTTTTGAAAAAAAAAATGATGTGGTGTTTAATGTCCAACTAGGCTAATGACGACGAGAATACGCCAAACAGTGTGCTACGAAGTGCGAATAAAATTTGCGCTGACAGCGGCGGTACGTTGGATAGCTGAATGGTGAGCGTTGTATCATAAGGTCTGGAATTGAGACAACTGGCATGGTTTCGATTCCCCGGTTGTAGGTGACAAGGAATAGGGTCGCCTGTACAACCTCGTGGGTTTTCTACTGGTCGTCGGGTTTCCCCCCACTGCTAAAGATCTCTACGCGCAAACGAATTATTGAAATAAAATTGAACCATATGTTAGTCCCGAAATGACCTAGTTTTTGTCGCGTGGGCGTTAAACCCACCCTCTCTCTCTGTCTCTCTCTCTCTTAACGTGCAAGTCAATATGTACGCGGGACCTCGTTTTTTTTTTGTCCCATTCCATCCCCTGCCAATACATAAGGCGTATTGTTACAACCCGATATAGTCGCCTAGAGATATCAACTCACTGTTTTATGTCAATCGGGCTCCCATGACAATGTACAAGTTTGATCCACACCCCTTCTGTGTGAATAATGTACGGGATGTTTCGATTATTTTGATCACGTAGCAAGCGGACGTGTAAAGAACGAATCGTCTTTTTGTAAAGAGTAGACATAAACTTAAAACACATGCACTGTAATACGTTACAGCCGTCCTCGTCAGGCCCTCCGTCCGGCATCACTAACAGTGGTTCCCCCTTGTCATTTACGATGATACCTATTAACGGGTCTGATTTGGCTAACAGATATTAAAAAAAATAGCGTTATGAGGTTTTATAAATTTTAATAATTATATGGATACGGAAATATATTATAACAAGTGTCATAAATATATACAAATAGACTACATACAAAACAAAACATAATATAGAATGCTACATTGACTGTCAAAAATAATTTGTTTAAAAAAATAAATATATTAACTAAGTGGCACTTATTGTTAAAATAAATTTCTAGCGTTTGATATAGAATGAGATAAATAGACTTTAAATTTCTAGTAGTGGGCCAGTTGTCAATAATTATTGACGAGGAGACATAAAGGACCAATGCTAGAAATTAAGATCAGAGAGGCACTACATTTCTAACTGTATATTAGACAGGCACTATAAAAGACAATCTGATTAAAACACAGATCCTATTTCGTTTCGTTTTTTTATAGTTCAAAATTTCGTTTTATTTGTCTGTACTACGGTAGGATCTGGAAGAGTTATTATATAACCTGCGTTCTGGATAGCGTGAGGGGTTAGCGAATAAAATCATCTGTTACGGCGACTTCTTGGCGTAAACCACTAGAAACGTCAACGCTGATTGATTAATCAATGTCTGACATCATAGGGACAAAAGTCGCTCGTACGACCCCTGACGCAACCTCCCAATACAATTGGTCAGATCTTCGTGTAGAGTAGGCCATCGAAAGTATATTAAAAAAACGAAACGAACTGCAGATCTGTATTTTAGTCAGATTGTATAAAGGATAATACATGTAATACGCTATCCTCTACACTACATTTCTGAGTGTATATTAGCCAGGCACTATAATAGATAATACTACACTGCCCTCTACACTACATTTCTAAGTGTATATTAGACAGGCACTATAATAGATAATACTACACTATATCCTCTTATATTTGGTAATTAGACCGATCATTAGGCACGAATATAGAAAAACAACATGTGAATAGGATAACACATGATACAATTGTATGAGAACGTTATATCAAGATGAGAGAACCATCATTGAAAAGCATAACTAGAAATAAACTTCTAAGTAACTTGTATTCTAGTCGTTCGTAAAAGACAGGACACACTGGTCTTGTTTAAGAATGTGTCTATAGACCTAGTCTGGTTACCCCCCCCCCCCCCTGAAAAAATATAAAATTCCCCGTGGGGATCACCGCCGTTCAAAGGGTGATATCAAATTACTTTATAAGGGACCTAACAAAAGTGAGTAATTATTACCTGGAAAATACCCTTTTGTTTGAGCGAATTTCCCAAAAAAATATAATTTATTGAATATTAATATTCTAATAACGCACGGCAATAGTAACTTAGTGGATTTATCTTCGCTTAGAATGCATTTTTGCATTGATATGTGTGATATTAAACATTCATTAAAAGGATATATTATCAGTAATAAAATACATAAATTGGATCTGTTACCACGAAAAAGGAAAAGGGAATTGATATCTGAAGTTCGAATATGATATTTTATCCCTTAAAATACGATTAAAGATCTAAAACAAACGGTATAAATGCTTGGCCCTAACTTATCACCGACTATATAGTCCCTAAATGACCTAGTTTGTGTCGAGTGGACGTTAAACCCCATTTCTCTCTCTCTCTATCACCGACTAGAACAAGAACAACAAGAGTATGTCAACAGTTCCTTAAGTCTCGCAAAAACAAACAATGGCCGTCAAAGAAAGGTATGCATATTCTATATATATTCAAAATTTAAGTGATTTCATTAAAACAAATTGACAAAATTATGAAGAATTGAACTATTGCTTCTTGGAGGCTTTTGACAATAAAACACTCTTGTCGGTACTTGGCGGGGATAGGTAGGACCCTGAATACTCATAAGTGCAAATGATTTCTAATTGTGTATATAATGTCTATGGGCGCTATTTCGTCATAACAACTATAGTCTTTGTGTGCTATTTCTTCATACATCTAGATTGTCACGGTCTTTGTTTTTGCAGCGAGTCTTAAATGAAGACCTATGTGATACATATCCATAATTCACTGCACCAATAAAAATGTTGCGACTGTCCATAAAATAAATTATAAAGTAGCCTCAACCTCTCACTCCAGCCATTGGAACAATCACTTTACTCGAGGAAGCAGCGAATAGTTGTGCTATTTGTCCTCTATTTTGTTTAGCAGTCCTTCTCGCGGCAGATGAGCGAACTCGTAATGGAGGTGGAGGTGATGCCCTAGCTTTGCTTCCGTCATGAATCAACCGATTCATTCGTCCTCCTTTATCCAAGTCGGCGTATTCTTTACCGGGTGCTTTTACTCTGGGTTCGGGTTGAGATTCGGTGGGCATTTGACCATAACTTCGGAACAATGCGTTGGTACGGTGCCCGGTGTCCAAAAAGGCATTAGGTTCTCCATCTTGTTTCACCCTTGGTGCTCCACGATCCGTGCCGGTTCCGGTGCCGTATCTATTTACAATTTTCAGCATTCGACCTCCCCTGTCTAAATTAGCGTTACCTACCCCCTCGGTTGTAACTCTGGGATCGGGTCTTGGTGATTCGGGTATTGATTTAGGTTCATGCAGGATGCTTTTCGCCCTGCCACCAAGATCCAAAGAAAAGTTAACCTCCCCCTCGCGTATCACCTTGGGTTGTTTCCTAGCCGATACTGGGTGCTTGCCGTATTCTTTAAATAGGTTAGCCGTGTTAGTGCCTCTGTTGAGATCAGCGTTAGCTTGGCCTTCAGGTTTGGTTCTTGCAGCGACCTGGTAATCTAATCTTGGAGTTGCTGTTCCAGACAAGATACCTCCGACATTTCCTTTACGATGTAGTTCTAGGTTACTCCGTGATGCAGCAGAGGGGCACCTGGGTTCGGGCTGCGGTTGGGGAACTATTTTCTCCCTTTGTGGATTAAAAAGATCCAGCACGCCTTTGTGTTTCTGGGCGTTATCCGCAGCCTCTGGTCTCACTCTGGCTGCGGGCAATTGATCATAGTGTTGCCCTGTTTCGTCATGTCCTGGGTACGGTGCACTGATATTTCTAGGGGTATATGCCATTTTCGTTCTGAAAGATATGAAAAAAAAACCATTGTAAATAAAAGAACAATTTTGTAACCTGTCATCAATTGTCTTGTCATCGTTCGAACCGGATCATGATTATAGGCAAGACCTGGTTAGAAATTAAATATCCTAATCATAATCTAGACTTTTCAGCTTTCGTATATCTGTATGAACTGATGCATTTCGTATTTAACACCGAAAAGACTCCACGAATGCTGAGTTATTTAAATAAACCATACAAGTTTGCTTATCGCCCTTGACATAGGGAATCCTGTATAGTCCCCGTGTCACGGAGTTCTCGATATTTAGAATTGGAAATGAATTAAGTTAGGATAAGTTGGCCGGTTTCTTTTTTCGGACCAACAGTTTAAACCCAGATGATTTTATTTAATGTGCGCTGTTGATGCCCAGTTATCGATTTAAAGGAAAAGAGAGGAAGATTTGTTTAATAAGAATGTATTTACTATGGAACAAGGGTATCCGCTGTAACCCTTCTTATTTACATTATGTGCTGTGACATCAGTTTACCTCTATCAACCAGACAGACAATCAATTTAAAAGCCTATGTTTATTTTAACCATGAGTCTATAGACACGATCATATTTGCCTGTTAGCTTTAGATCGTCAAGGAAATCATGCCAATAATAGCAGCAGTGTGTGAATAACACAATGTAGAGTTCGTTAAATTTCTTAAATTCGCAATCCGCAAAGTTTCTTTTGTTTGGTGTAAAGTGGAATCGATTTGAATCGGTATCTTACAATTTCCTTATTTGGAGATCATCAATGAACTTTTGTAATTTCCTATTGACAAGAACGGATCGTGAAAGTTAGTTCTGAATCCAGACCGTACACCAAAATAAAATTATTTAGTTATCCTGGATACAAATTTACTAAAAGTATTTTTGTTTTGTATGTCACTTTGGTTACGCATCAATCAAATCATATGTTCAGATTTCCTTGATTGACATCATGACTTGTAATCCGATTTCAGTCAATGATCAATTGTTAATTAGTAGGAATTGCATGGCTTGTTATCTGATTTCAGTCAATGATCAATTGGTAATTAGTAGGAATTGATACTCGTCAAAACGACCCATCTAGCACCACTTGAATTAATCTGTATAATATATCTAATTTTAATTTAAAAATTTAATTTTGCGACAAGAATAAGTATTTGTAAGCAAATTTATTAAGCATTAGATATAAACAAGAACGGAGATATCTCAGCATTGGCCGAGAAAGTTCATCCAGATGTTCCAGCGTGGTTCCCCCCTTGTCAGTGATGCAGAACGGAGGGCCTGACAAGGAAAGCTGTCTAGCCGTTCGGATGGGATGAAAAGCCGAGGTCCCGTGTACACATTGGCGTGCACATAAAAGATCCCTTGATAGTTGCAATTCGATATAAGATTAGGCCGTAGTGCCGCTTTCCGGACAAACTCCCTCATCGTACACTGTATGGCGTATGCCCGTCTTCATTAGCCTAGTTCGGAGCAGAACAGTTGGACGTTAAACCCCACTTAATTTCATTTCATTTCATTTAATGATTATTCCAGGGTGTTAGGATAGGCCTTCGAACCAATTCCTTGTCAATAATTAGTATTGGTAAGCAAATTATTAAATGTCAAGAAAATGCTTAATGTTTATTCACAGTGTAGGACTTCAGTTTCAATACGTTTCAAATTAAAGAAATGATTCATTAAATACGTATATATACATAGTGTTAACGTCTATCCAACCTCGTGGGTTTTCTCCGGGTGCTTTGGCTTCCTTCCAGTGCTAAAGACCCCTACGTGCAAGCGAATTATAGAAATAAAATTGAACCATGGGTTAATAGCGAAATAACCTAGATTGTATCGAGTGGAAGTTAAACCCAATTTCTCCCTCTCTATTTGTGTTAAAACTGCTAATATAAATGGTAAATACTTAAGACAGAAAAAAATGTTAATTTCATCAATCAAAAGTCGAGACAATCACGTGCCACAGCCTTGTCCAAAATAGAGGAATTTGTATTTTAATTTCTTAAGATAATTTGAATTCATCTTGTTTATTCTTCTCAAAATTTTGACGACAAATCGCACCATGGACCTTTGGTCTTTCATACACGAAATAAAGATTTTATTAGTATAGCCCCCCCACCCCCGCCAAAACAAAAACCCCAAAAGAAACCAAAAACCATTCGTTAACTTCGAAAATTACACACTTTAGACAATATATGTACACGCAATACTTTATAAATATAACATTCCACGTTTACATATTATTCTTTAACTGTAGTTTATTGACTTATTACCGTGTCACGCACCTGTTGAGTATAATGGAAATAAAATGAGATGAAATGGGATTTAACGTCCCATTTTTCTACTCCATCCGGGCAAATGATGATGGAATAAGGCATGCAGTGTACTAAGAAGGGCAGCAGTGATACGTGCTACGACCCACTGTCCAACTGCCAAGGGATCTTTTACGTGTACGTTAATGTGCACATGAGACCTCGGTCTCCCACGAACGACTATACACTGTTATGGACACAGCCACTGTTCTGTGTCACTGGCCTATGGAAACCACGCTGGAAAACCTCGAGGAACCTTCTCGGCTAATACCGGGATCGACCCCGAGACTTCCAGTATGGCGAGCCAGCGCCCCACTGAGTCACCATGGCTCGCACCGAGTAATAGACTTATGGTTTCATTAAAAACGTTTTAAAATCTTAAAAGCCATGACGTTTTCAGTATTCATCAATATTAAAACACAAATAGTATTGCCCAGTGGTAAGGGATACAACATACCATATATATTATGTAGGCCTGTTCACACAGAGGTGCATTGAAATCTAACAAAACGACTACATACCTGTTGATATAAGTAAGATGTTGTGGTCGTATTACACAAGTTCAATATTGACACTAACACAGCGAGGGCTCGCACATTATTCCAGTTACGCTAAGAATTTGTCGAGGATGAAGATAAATCAATTTAATCCAGAAACATTTGCTCGTAAATAACGAAATATTTACCTGCAGCCCTGGATCGATACACAACGATCACGCGTTGCTATGGTAAACACTGAAAAAGAGGAATGTCGTACTCGGCCTCGATATCGAGTGTAACTGACTTCCTGTGGTGGGAAATGAATCCAAGCGTGTTACAGCAAAGCCAGTCTGACATTATAGCCGGGTACTGTGTAGTGTGTAGTAGGATTTACGGTATATTTAAGCGGATTACTAAGGAAAAATTGTGGGTAAGTTTCCACATGTCATTTTAATTTTTTGTAACCTTTTAGTGGAGTTAACTAATTAGTGTTAGGATATGTAACTATGGAAATTTAGAAACACATCGAGTTATTCATAGATTTAATGACATTTATAAACGGCTTGTCTGCTTGTGCCCATTGTCTCTTCATTCAAGATGACATTACTGCATACTGTTATCGAGGGCGATATCACCACTTCTAATTCGTAAACACGGCGTGTGTCAAGGGTGGCCCACCCCACCATTGTTCTTCACGTTATGTACAAATGACCAGGTACATTTACTTACATGTATAAAGTTATAGTTATGGGTTGGAAATAAACTCCACAATGTGACTTACATGTACATATACAAAATATTAACACACGGTACAAGTTTATGGATACACAATCACTGGATTTACTACTATGCAGCGTTTCGTAGAGGGTACCTTGTGTTAATAAGTTCAGTTACTAATTAAATGTCAAAGAAGTTATACTTACTCAATATGGTAAAGTTTTGTATAGGAAAATAATATGCATTATGTTCATAGCCAAATTATTTTTTATTTCGCATTATAAAACTAATAAATTCATAGAGAAATAATATCTAACATTACAAAACCCTTTTATATTTTAATTGGACAATTAAACTAATTGGGTTAGGAAAATTTCCTCACATTGATATGAATAATTAAAATCTGACTTTGATGAAGATCTAGAGTGCATATGCCGAGTTGTGTCACGCAAACGGTTTAAAGAATATTAAAGGGGACACACGCCTAAAATAAATGTCAAATCCAAGCATGAGCTTACTCCATCAAAAGTACTATTAAAGGCACATCATGCCGTGTGGTTTCAATATTATCCTACTATCGTTTTAACGTAAAGACGGTTGAACTTGTTGTTATGTAATTAAACACATCTGAACTTTATGAAGAATATACTGACTTGTACGGAAAAAAAGATAGCACAATTATTATTACTGTATTTGATGGTTTAAATCAATAGAAACAAAAACAAAATAGCTATAAATTCAAATTGACAGATTTAACTAAATGATGGACTTTAATGATTTTCATAAAACTACTTTTTATTGTGTGTGGTATGAAGCGTTATATTTAGACTTTATACAGACATGCTCGGACTTAAATGACAGCCTGTCTGATCTTATGGGCATTAAAAGTTTGAATTAGCTTCAGTTGACTATGATGATAATAATTTCAAAATCTTTTATTCACAGAATTGCTTAAAAATGTAAATTCTGTTTGATCTTAGGCCATTCATTGAACGATAATAGTAATTCCTAATTCTGTTAATTACAAGCCAGTCTATTTGTACACAGTCCCCATTGTACCCAGATTAGCTTAATTGAAATGTAATAGCAGTGTTGTGAATAAAACGGTACATAACGTTTAAATAATTATGGTCCATCTGGTTGATTGTCTCTTTAATTTATTCAAATTAAAGTGACTTTATATCAGATAAACAAATTAGTATAATAATTGCTATATAGTCCAAACAGGTATATTATGTACGCTTTTTGTTGTTTTCGAAGTTTTTATTAGAGATAATGTACAATTAATCTTATATGTTGGACGCCCATTTATTCATTATTTCAAGTTTATCATGTAGAGAAATATAAAAACAAATGAAGAATAGCCATTGCAATTAGGGTGAAGGGCGTTTTCTATTCATTATTTTATCGTTAAAATAGCAATTAATCAAAATGTCGAATTTTTTAAAGAAAATACATTAATTTTTAATATAAAGAAGAAACAATTGCTGGAATAGTAGAAACAATTATACTCGATTAATTCAGATAAATACAAGACGATGGAGAACACAAACGATCTCTAAAATCATTTCATGTTAGAAGGAAGACACCTGTAATCAGATGCTATTCTATATAAATTTGGTCAACTCTCTGCTAATATTCCGATTTATCTAAACAGAACAAAAAACACTCCTCACACCGAACTGGAGATTTTGGTAGTAGATATGAGAACCACATACACGTACGTGTCTTCTGTTATTCTATCTCCTTATCAAAATGTAATGACTACCTTTCGAAAGATGAGAAATGATATAAAACCAGTGGTTTCTAATTATAAGTTGATATATTGTTTAATAATATTTTATG